CTCAGGTCCTCTGTAAAAGCAGCCAGTGCTCTTAACCACTGAACAACTCTCCAGCTCTTACACGTCCTTTTTTCTAAGTATCTTAAAACATTTCAGAAAAAAAAAAATCCCTAACGTAAGGGTATCAAGGAAGACAAAGCCGTTAGGGACTGAAGACAGACGGGCAGTGCAGGCCCAGGCCACCTGCACAAGGTGACTTAGGACACACGGACAGTGCAGGCCCAGGCCACCTGCACAAGGTGACTTAGGACACACGGACAGTGCAGGCCCAGGCCACCTGCACAAGGTGACTTAGGACACACGGGCAGTGCAGGCCCAGGCCACCTGCACAAGGTGACTTAGGACACATGGAACTGAAGCACTATCTCTTCACATGACATTTACCCATTTTTGGTAACAAAAAGATAAAGGTTTACTACAAGCAAAAGATGATACAGTGGGGCTAGAGATGGCTCAGTGATTAAGACCACTGGCTGCTCTTGCAGAAGACTCAGGTTCAAATACCACATAGTGGCTAAGAACCATCCTTAACTCCAGTTCTAGGGGAATCCAATGCTTCTGACCTCCATGGGCACTGCATGACACGGGTACACGCACATGCATACAGGCAATAACACTCATACACTTAAAATAAAAATAACTAAAAAAAAATTTTTTTAAAGATGATACTGTTAATAAACATACTATCCTTGGCTCTGGAAACTACTCTCTCTGCCAATATAAAAAGAAATAAACAAGTTTAACAAATCATCCTATTTTTGATAAGAAGATGAATGCTGACTAGAATTTTTTTAAAAGAAATAGTTCTGCCAGCCTAGCTAGCCACCTTGGCAAGGCTGTGAAAGCTACCTACCCATTCCTCAGCATGAGCAGCCGACCTTGAAGCCCGGTCGACATCAGGAGGCCCCGGTCGACATCAGGAGGCAGACAGGTCTCCCAAGCAGCATCCTTCGCTCTTCGCTTCCTCTCCTCCCGCTTCCCCTGCACTGAGCTCGCATGCTCCTGACCTTCTGCTTCTGTTCCACACTGCTGTGGTCCAGCACATAAATCATTCATGCTACGACCACTCCTCTGGTTTTCAGACCTTTTCAAAGGCCATCTAACCCTCCCATTTTCCAAAACACCTTGAAATAACTGTTAAGACATGCTTAGCCCTGAAAACACGAGATGAAGGACAAACAAGCACAGCACAAACTGGCACTCCCAGAGCTCTATGGAAGGCAAGACACATGTTCTGTGCTCACACACGGGTTCAAATGCTCAAGGGAAAGCATATGGGTGAACACTCAGTGTTACAGGGTTGACATGTTAGCAGATGTGATGATGCTGGTGACTACGTTGGTAATGAAGGAGGCATGGTCTGAGGCAGTTTCAAACTTGCAATAACACATAGAAAACCAATGTGTAAGAGGCTCCTGAGCTGAAGCTGCTCTGATGGAAATACAGCTCTCACTCCCCGCCCACCCTCTCCAGCCTGCCCACCCTCTCCAGCCTGCCCACCCTAAGGCACCTCTGAAAAACCTCTGCGGCTTGGAGTTTAAATGGACTGGTTTAATTGATCAGTTTCTTGAAAACAGCTGCAATTATGGAAGTTCTTTGACCTCGTACATGAATTCAGCTCTTGATTTACTTTTTTAATAATAACATTTTAACAACTGAAGAATCATAAAAATATAGAAACCCAAAGAATTTGTTTCAGTTCATTTAAAGGCTAAAAGGAAGCGTCGAACTCCTGCTCTAGATGGGAGACGCTGTGGCTGAGAGGTTGGTGATCAGTCCCGCGCCCTGGAAGAGGCGTTCCTGCCGCTTCTCTCCCACCTCGGGCTCCTGCTGCTGCCTAAAGTGACCTGTAAAAACCTCAGGAGCTGTTCCAAGATGACTGACTCCACTCCAGTATTCCTTCCCTTGTTCTTTGGTCACAGAGTATCATTTCACACTAATGACCATAAAAGCATTAGTTATAATTGCCTTGGAGACATCTTGGAAGTCATCAGTATACATAACTCAAACTTACAAGCGTCAATCTAGTCATCGGCAGAGTCCAGTCAGTACTAACAACATGGTTAAATTAAACAAATTTGCACCCCAACTCCAAACACAGATTCCTGTTAGTAACTAATCAAATCTTTACTGAGGGTTTCAGAGATTAGCTTCTTGTTCCCACTGCAGAGTGAGGACAAATGATCCCCGGACATGGCTGAGAACTAACCCTGAAAAGACAAATTCTGTATAAAGTGGGTGCTTAGAAAACATGCACCAAATGAGCTCAAGGAAGATTAACAGTAATATTTTCTGGTTTAGAAATTATGTTCAGTTCATAAATTTGAACTCAGATGATCTATGAATTTGACTCCCCTTTATTCTATCACCATCTTTATTCTATTCCAAACACCTTGAACTGACGTCCAGGCTGAGCCCTGGACACGTGACGAAGGACAGACAAGAAAGCTGATGGCACTGAAATCCTCTGTAGCATTTATTCTATTCCAAACACCTTGAACTGACGTCCAGGCTGAGCCCTGGACATGTGACGAAGGACAGACAAGAAAGCTGACGGCACTGAAATCCTCTGTAGCGTTCTAAATTAGAATTTTAGGTTAGCACAGAGGGCGGATGACCACAGTCACCAGGTTAGGAAGGTCAGAACCTGAAATGGCTTCCAATACACATAACACATACACTGTTTTAGATATAACATGTCAGATAACAGAAACAATGTTAATTATATTACAAAATATAAAGGATAAAACAACCAGTTTGATTTTAAAAAGCAAATAAATCATTTCTCAGATTTAAAGTGTTAGGAAAAATACAAACTATATTTACATTTACTACATTACTAAGTATGTAAAATAAGATTATGCACAATAGTTTTGGAAAGTATACTGAAACCAGAAGGTAAATAGGAAAAAATAAAATACCTTCTCATTCTTCTCCATAGACTGTACAAATCAAAAGTTTTACCTTTAAGAGGTCACTGAATTGTATTTGAAAACTATCAGTTTCTTATAAAAACAATGCTCTTTGATTACAAGGATGGCACAACAGACTGGAAGCTCATTCCGGGCTGACTGGAGCTCCCCTTGAGAGCCAAAGAAACCCTCCCATCTTTGAAACAGATTACTACTGGAAGAAGACTTACCAACTAAAACTGCAATGCCAAATACATCCTGTGTGAACAGATACATGGGAACTCCAAATCTTTAAAAAATAAAACTTTAGCATAACTAAGGTATGAGAAGAGAATCTATGAAAAATTACCTTCATCAGTTATGAGAAAATTTTGACAGATAAAAAAACAACATAATTTTCCCCGTTTGTGGACACGGAGAGACACACAGTGAGGGAATGAAAGACAATTCTAAGAATTAAAGGCTGATCGGCATGAAGAGGAGAGAACTTGGAGCTAAGAGCTGGGCTCCATGCTGTGTTTCTACTGAACCAACCTTTAGCTGGTGGGAAGGGCTGGGAAGGAAGTGACTCCGAACAGAGCTCCAATGGGAACTGCAGAAGTTCTTCAACATCTGTGGAGGCTTGAGAGGCAAAGAAATGCAGTTATCTATCTAGTAATGTCCATTATTAAATCTTCTAAATATTAAGAACCTGCCACAGGACTGTAACATAGATGAACATGCACTTTACTTCCCACAAAGCAAAGATTTACCTCTTTGTAGTGACTTTTCAACATGGGTTTTTGTGGTCTGTAAAGCCTGATTTTTGTCAAAAGTTATTGCAACTGCAGTAACTGTAACCTACAATTGTAGAGGCAACATTATCAGCAAAATAATAATTGCTAAAATTAAGTTCTTACAAGTAGCTTTCAGTACCATAAGGCAACCTGTATCAATTGGCTAATGTACTTTTCTGCTTAAGCACCTCAACTAGGGGGCTGGAGAGATGGCTCAGTGGTTAAGAGCACTGACTGCTCTTGCAGAAGACCAGGGTTCGATTCCCAGCACCACATGGCGGCTACGAACCATCCTTAACTCCAGTTCCAAGGGACTCCAAAGCCCTTTTTGACCTCCGCAGTATTGCACGACACAGGTGTACTCACATATGTGCAGGCAATACACTCGTACACATAAAATAAAAATAATTAAAAAAAAAAGTCTCAACTAGCATTCTATAACTCAGACATTCAATATCTAAACCTAAACATTTCAGAAAGTGCTCAAGAGACTTCTCTAAAAGATGAAGGGTGGAGAAATCAGATGCATGCTTGCTGGAGCATTGAACATACCTGCAGATAACCAGAAATCAGAAAACTGAGATACACATCCTGTTGTATACTAATACAATCTCAAGATATTCTGGGATGAAACATTGTGTGTTGAAGTTACATAGTTACGGCAAAATTATTCTAAAACACACCAAAGAAAAAAAAGCTAAAAATCTTAAACAGACTAAATTTGAATTACCTGAATTAATTCATCTTCAGGCAGGGATACTGTAAAATTCACATGGCAAAGGCAACAGGGGGTCATAGACCGTAGTTTAAAATACAAGCTCTATATAAAGGAAAATATTAGTAAGGTCATTTTATGCATTGAAAAATTTATGAATTTGTGATAGTTATTCTAAGAATATAGATTATTTTATGACAAATGAAATTTAAAATAGTAAAACGGAACTCATCTACTTCTGCTTTCTCTATTTTTATGTTAAAAATACTTTTTTAGTATTTAAGTGGTAAGATTTAAGAGCTTATGTATATACATCATATATGAGATCAAAGTAAGAAGAAGGATGAAGGGAGGGCTTTAAAATGTTTATATAGCCAGGCGTGATGGTGCACTCCTTGAATCCCAGCACTCAGGAGGCAGAGGCAGGCAGATCCCTGTGAGTTCAAGGCCAGTCTGGTCTACATAGTGAGATCCAGGTCAGCTGGAGCTATAGGGAAACCCTCTCTCAAAAAGACTTTCAAAACAAAACAAAAAGTTTATACAGATGTACTAGGCTTTTACAAAATTATAAGTTATTCACTAACTTAAACAGCTTTAGTTTTATAATAACATCTCTTAGGAGAATAAAGACAAATCTAGCATCTCACCTGATGACACAGGTAAGACTGACAGGCATACAAAACAGCACAGCCCACAACTGTGTAAGGTATCACTGACAAGGGCAGATACTTTAAATTTTAACCTTACAATCCTGAGGCCTGTTAAATAAGATGGAGTCAGCAAGTTCCTACCTTGAGCAAATTTTCACAGAGGTCATTGAAGTTCTTGTTGAGAACTTGATTGGTCAGATTAAGGCTGCTGAGTCTGACCACTCGCACTGACGTGAACATCTAGATATTGGGGACAAGACAGCAAGTCATGCTATTTTTAACTAGAAAGTGTAACAATTAATAAAACTGGCAAATAATAACTAAGGTATTAAAAAGGGATAGTTTCAGGAGATTTTTTAAAAAGGCATTTAAATGAAACCTACTAAAAGAATTTAGGTTCTACTAGCTTCAAATTAATAAAAGCTTACCTGTATTTCTGATGTCCAATTATTTATACCAGGCATAATTTCTGTATTACAGCTATAAAAGCCTGCCAAAATAATTATAATTGAAATATGTGATAATATTTTCATTTTGATTTTTAAAATGGCATCTTCAACTATTATATGAAACTTTAAATATAAAACTTTCATTACTTTTGGCTATCTAGTGAGTTCAATGCCAGCCTAGGATACCTGAGACTCTGTTTCAAAAACAAAAAATGATCCCAGGCGTGGTAGCGCATGCCTCTGACCCCAGCACTCGAGAGGCACAGACAGACAGATCTCTGTGTATTTGAGGGCAGCCTGGTCTACATAGCGACTTCTAAGGAAGTTGGAGCTACAGGAAGACCCTGTCTCAAAATTACCAAAAACAAACAAACAAACAAACAAAAAACCCCAATAAATTACTAAATAATAAACAAACAAAAACAAGGCTAGTCCCATAAAAATTATGAACTAAAACACTGACATATAAAACTAGTTTTGCCAAGTGTGGTGGCTCACACCTTTAATCCCAGCACTTGGGAGGAAGAGGCAGATGGATCTTTGTGAGTTTGTGGCCAGCCTGGTCTATGTAGCAAGTTCCAGGCCAACTGGGGATACAGGGAGACCCTGTCTCAAAAAGAAGAAATAAAACCCTAGTTTTATCTCAAAGGTAAGTTCTGCTGTTCACCTGAAGGAGGAGGAACATCAGTAAGGAGAGAATGCACATCCTCCATGGCGTCCGTGTCATCAATCTGAAATAAAAGATTAAAACTATTATATACTGCTATAAAATTAAGTTCTAATTCTTTAAAAATTATTTTCATTATTTAATAAGTAGAATTTTAAGAACTAAGAAAAAAGCAGACCCATTTTCTCTGATAAAATATTTAACACGAGGGCTGGAGAGTTGGCTCAGCAATTAAAAGTGCTGCTCTTCCAGAGGACAGGAGTTCAATTCCCAGCACCCACATCAAATGGTTCACAACTGCTTGTACTCTAGTTCCAGGGTATCCAACACCCTCTTCTGGAATCCA